CTTCGGTACATGTTTAAAGAGGCATTAACGCAGCTCGACGGGGAAGGAAGGAAATCCGTTGTTAATGCTGGGATGTATTGTAATTAACTTTGTCTGATATCCCCCCCCCCCCTGTTTCTGTCCCTTTTCGAAATTGAATTCTTAGAAAGGGTAATTCTCTTGCAAAATGACCTATCGACCAACGGGGTTATTCTAAGCACATGTTGTCAACTTGAAATAATTTTCTAATAGTTTTAAATTACTTTTAAACCGCTTCTACATACTTTACGTTAAAAAATCCAAATTTTACTAAAGCATTTTCGAAAAAGAGAACATTTAGTTATAAACGAAAAACATTAAAAAAAATAAACTTTCCCTTCTAATAATAACCTAATGGTTGAGAAGGTTATGTAATACACTAATCAATTCCTATTTTCATAAATCATTTTCGAAAAGAAGATAAGAGTAATGAGAACATATAAATATATACCAAAAAATACACCCAAAATTTCCTCTTCGACTTTGTGCACTGAAGTAGACGCCATTTTATACGAAACATTCCAGATATTCGTAAATCATTTTCGAAACAGAAGAAGAATTAAGAACACGTAAAAATAAATAAAAAACACCTAAAAGCTCCTCTTTGACTTAGAGCACCGAAGTAGACGCCATTTTATAAAGCAAAGATTCCAGATATTCGTAAACCATTTTCGAAACAGAAGAATTAAGAACACGTAAATAAAAATAAAAACACAAAAAAATAACCATTATATATCCTCTTTGACTTAGAGCACCAAGGAGCTGGTGTCAGACTGCCCTTGTTGCATAAACTAGGGCGGGGATCAGATGTCACAGGTTCTCTAGACAGGAAATGTTTCTAGGCGGATTCGGCGCGCTTTTGTCTTTTATTCTATTTTATCTTTTCTTTATTTCTTTTTGTTTTACTTTGTTCTACTTCTATTTTTCTTTATTTCTTTTGTTTTCTTTTTTTTTCTTTCCTTTCTTTTTTTCTTGTTTTTCTCTTTTCTCTTATATTTTTCGCCTTCATTTTTCTTTCTTTCTTCCCCCAAATTTTTCTTTCGTTTTTCTCCTTATTTCTTAAATTTACCTTCTCTTTTTCGTTTTTCTTATTATTCACCTTCTTTTTCCTTTCTTTATTTTCCTTCTTTTTTCTCTTTTGTTGAAACTTCCGTCCTTCCGATTTCGAGTTTAGGTTAGGTCACATGGCCTTTAAATGGGTTTTGATTGAAGTCGTGTTCTATTTATTTCTGTTTCTGTTATTTCCTAGATAATTTTATTTATTTATTTATTTTATATTTTTTGTGTGTTAAAGAATTTCAGAAGGAAGTTTATTTAGAACGTTATTATTTTTTTCGTAATTTTTTGGTGTCCGGAAAACCTGCCTGTTTAACTCTTTCATTTGACAGTTTTGCATTTGTCTTCTTGAAAATAAAGAGATCAGTTATTAAAATCATCCGAAATACGTCAAGAGAGAGAGAGTTATGCCTGGCTCTCAGTTCCGGTTAATTCATAGTGTTAATCACTCTTGAACACACAGACACGCTAACGCACACGCACACACACGCACACACACGCATACACACACGCATACACACACGGATACGCATACACACACGGATACGCACACGCACACGGATACGTATACGCACACGCACACGCACACGCACACACACACACACACACGCACACGCACACGCACACGCACACGCACACGCACACGCACACGCACACACACACACACACACACACACACACACACACACACACACACACACACACACACACACACACAGGTAAACATGTATATTACTCCAAAGCATTTTACATGTTGCATCATGTAGTGGGTATATGTATGCGAAGTGAGAAGACGGAGAGAGACAGCGAAATACCATTAAATATCTCTCACGAATCGTAAAACACGGTGTTGATAAGATGGTAGAAAAAACCCACATTGCACACACTATTACTAAAGCCAATACTAGATACTAGATACTTAGAAAATACTAAACATATAATGAAAGTTCATCATCAGCCCTTAATTGTCGATATGACGAACCACGACCCAAACAAAGAGAAAATGGGTGTGTGTGTGTTTGCTCAGTTAATGTGCTGATGCTTCGTAACAAATATGCGTTCATTTTCCTCCCCCCGAATCGATCAGTAAAGAGATGTTGATGATTACATGATACACAATAATTTCTGATGCTGAGTGGCAAGTCAAAAATAAATAAATAGATGGATAAATAAATAAAAAATTCTTGCAATTCAAACTCTCGCGTCCTCGTTGCATCATGGAAGGAACATCTTGAGTTTTCCAAGACGCACGGCCAGCCAGCAGTCTCTATGAGGTCATCGCTGATCCTGACTGAGGCGCTGGAACAAAATAAATAGACGGCTGTTTGCACATGTCCACCCTCTATTTTCCTGGTCCCGCTTGGAGGGCTCGGCCGGCAGAGTAACTTGAGAAAGGATGGAGCATTTTTTTTATCTTCTACAGCGT